AGGATCTTGACACCGAAAAAGTCTCGCCGCACAACACCAATATCTTATGATCTGGGAATTGCCTTGGATACGGACAACCATACAGCGACCGTGTTGGACCGGCTCGAAAGGATATATTGAATCATACCATCAGCAACATTCAGTCGAAGCTTGTCGATTTCACCAAAAAGAAGCACGACCTCAAATGAAAACGGTACAATTTCCAAGCTTTGATAGCACTCATTCGCCGCTCCCCACAATGCTATCTCGAATTCCGTCCTTCTTCATTGAAAAATTCTGCTTGTCACTCAGCAAAGTCTGTGTGTCTTGTAAACAGACTGTGGGAATTAGGTTTGGATGGTGTCTGAGTAGCCTACGCCATTCACATCGCGCAAAGGATGCTTCTTAGACCTGGAGCTCGATCTTAACCTTCCCTAATACCAGATGAAAGAGTTTCACGACATGAGGCATGACTACAATATTCTGTATAAACTGTCTCATGAGAAATGCAAGCAGCCATGAAGTCTCGGTGAAATTCTACTCACTATTCTGCCACTGCGAGACCAAGAACCAATTTGCAGCTTTTGTGTACTGATGGTGGGTGATGCACTTCTTGCAATGTTGATATCCCTTTTAAGGTCTTTCGTTCCAATATCAATTGTGCTGTTTGATTAGTCACACCAAATTATGCAGCATATGCTCCCGGTGATGTTCCTATCCTGAATGCTAAGCACCTCACAACAATATCTATGGACCTGCAGCCCAAACATGATCAATGATTATTGCCTCAGGACGCCGTGTACACATAAAATCCCCGTTAAGATAACATGAGATGTGAATTGTGTTACAAGCCTGAATGATCCCCTCGTTTCTTGCACACTTTGCTTGCATGGGCCTACTAGACCTAGCTCAATCTCTTGACGTTCCTCCAACATGGCGAGTAAGTGTTGCTACGTGAGTGTGTACAAAGTGATGCCCTTATCAATTAAACAGAAACCTAGAATCAAAGTGTCGCTTGACGAAAGAAAAAACCTCGCCAACGCCGCTCTCGAAAATGCAGTCGGTATGCTCAATGAGAACTTGACATGTTAGAACACCATTATTTCTTTGGAACACTTGCTCAAACATCCTTTCTTAAAGTTCCTGATGACATAGAAAGGACGCTTGGTGTTCAAGCAGCAATCTCCGATATGGACCATCTTACCGACCAGACGAATAATAGGGGGCTGGCAGTGGACTTTTTCTCGCGGTATCCTACAGTTGACATCCTTGTCCGAGCTTTCAAGTATGTTCAACTTCTCCGATCAATATCCAAGTCCACTTAACTGTTCATTTAATAGCATGAACGATTCAGTGCGTGTGTACTGCACCAATCCTGTTGTGAATCGACTCATCATCACCTGTAGGCTTATAGCACGCTGTATGTGCCATTTTCACACCAGTCAAACAGCTAGAACTCAATGTTCATCGAAGATTATTTGGATATGCGTCCATGCAAGCCCATACAGCATACAAAATTCCCAAGTTTCTGCAGGCCGCGAGTGATTTATGGAATCACGCCAGAAGCGTTGCTTTATTGGACGAAGACATCAAGTCTGGTACCCGAGAGCGACTGCTCAACTATGATCATCTTCAGTCATCATGTCAAGGGGGTAAGCCGACGCCGACCCCAGCCTTTCAACCTGTATCGTTGATAAAATGCTTCACAGAAACTATGGCCGGAGGAGTAGGTGATGTGAGCATATTTCCTACAGTGATTTTTATCAATACACAGTTTAATAATAACCACTCATTCTTTTACGGTCACCAAACAGGGTGGGTTGAGATCAGTTACTATTGTTACGTGGAATAATCATTGTCTCCGTTGCAGGTTGTTCTTGACGTGCGTCACATCAGACATAATTTCGGATGGTGCGGTATGTGAACCAATTTGTACCTTATCAGCAATGCTCTATGAAGCTTCTTCGAACGAAACGTACAAGGATGCGGCTATTCAATCCGAAGGTTTTATCCGGAAACAGCTTTATAGGACCACTGGATTGATTCTTTTTGGGAAGAGTAATCAGGACTGCGGACTTATCACAAACCAATTTTTTGTTCAATCAACTGCCTTCTGGATTTAACGACTCTCTATCTGGGCTTCAGTTTCAGGAGACTCCTCATTGACATCACTGTTGAGTACTCAAATCTCTGGAGATGCACGATATTGATTCAAAATTAGCCTTGAGCAAAGCATTGTTGCAGCAACAAACCAAATCGACTGGCAAAGTTCGGATGGCATTCAGGGTACGTCTACGTGGCTATTATGAAAGTGGCAATGTGACTCATCGATCCAGTGAATGTCAATCTTCCCACATTCAATCCATGCCTGGTCCGTGGTCCAAGAACGGCATATATGCGACTAAATTCGTCCAACAATCACCTGAAGAGCTATATCCAAGGCTATATTGGAGTACAGGTACTACAGATTAACGTCTGCGACAATTTAAGCATATGCAATGCTAATTCTCCACATTCCTCAGTACAACGCATTGCTTGATCTTGCTACACGCGATCAAAGCAATATATACGCAGGGAATTGGGCTGGGCCACCCAGTTCAGCTCTAGACAAGGAGAACCAAATTAGCGCTTCGGAGGTTCTGATCTCCGGGATTCCTCTTCTGTTCACGCAGAATGCGACAAATCCGAAGCCTACGCCGTCAGACCAACCACCGGGTGGCCCGGGCGCGAAGACTACTACAACACCTGCGGGACCTATAGTAGGTGGTGTCATCGGCGGTGTAGCCATAATTGCAGCTATGGCTGTGATGCTCGTATGGTGCAGACGCCGATACCAACAGCTATTTTATGTTCCTTCTCTGACACCCTTCGTACAAGATCAAGGTGATAGAACATCTCAACCCAACGCTCGTTCTCGTAGTATGAAAGGTGAAATTAGGCGAGCAATAGTCCCATTGGAACCGGCTGTATGCGCGCCGATTCCCTTGGAACCTCCCCCATCCTATATGGATGGTAGGTCTCCGCTGTTATGGTGAACTACTTCACTATTTTTGGATATCAAAATATTAGATATTAGATGGTATGTAACCCAAACTACCTTTCACATAAAACTCTCTGCGCCGAAAGGAATATTCTGCAATGTAACCAAGGGATAAGCATGAGAGGCGTGATCGTTCTGACGGTTGCTAATCTCTGTATCGTACCACCCATTCGCCGCATTTTAACCGATATCCTATCTGAGTCCTTGATTTGCCATTCAACGTTACAAAAAAAACACTTTACAGCAAAGTCCATGCGTTGGGCATACATACCGAGGTGACTTGTTCCTGTGCGAAAGTGTTCCGGGTTTCCCGAGGCGAATCCAAGCAAAACTTGCAGACGCTCAACGTTCAACCCATATCGTTCAAGTTCCTGAGCGTTTAATTACAGTAATATCCCATAGTGAAGTACTTGCATGTACAACGCATTTAGAGTTATGTCTATGTCGACATCGATAGTGTATTTCCGATTCCTATGGTTCATTGATTGAACGCGGGTATCTTGATTTGAGCCCGTGTTGTGGATGCTGCTCATGCTTCCATCAATGTAAATCATAGCAAACCAATTGTTTCTATATCCCAGACGGTGTGGAATAACGGTGAGGCTGCTACGGTTGATTGGAGTAGTTATGGGCAACCCCACAGTCAACCGTTTCCTCGGCAGTCTCCGAGTGGGACAAGGAAGTTCACAATCGCCGGTCGTTCCTTGATCACAAACCACGATATAGTTCTCCGATTCAGGTATGTTTTTCGCTACTATCAACGGAAATGCCCGGAATTTTGACACTCGAAGAATATCTCACCTCATATCACTAATGTCCTACGTTCATAGGTTCCCTTGAATACGGGCCAGTTGTACACGGCGAGTGTGCTGAAGGTCCTCGACAGGGAGATATCGAAGAATACAAAGAACCTTCAATGATCTTCAATCAAAGCTCGCCGATTTCACGAGAAAGCACATCCTCAAATGGAAACGATCCAATTCCCAAGCTTTAATAGCACCCATTTGCCGCATTCCCCCAGAAATCCCATCTCGGATTCTGTGGTTCGCTATTGAACAACTCGGCGAGAGGACTGCTCTTCCACAACGGTATTCCTCCAAGTCAGTGCATTTTGGAAACAGATTATGAATTCTACGCCGCATGTATGGACAGTCATATCCATTTCTGCGCCAGATTATGGTTCGAATGGTGTCTTTGTATGCCATTTATGTCGCGCAAATCTGAGGCTCGATCTCAAGTCCAGATACGATGTACATGGAAACTCGGCGAGTTATCACATCTCGTGCAGAACAGACACTCATGGGGAAGAATACAGAGTTCTTCCTTTTATATCCCTGGCAAGATTGCGAGTACAAAATGGATTGAATAGACTGGTATCCTGACTCCTTCGGTGCTATGTACTTTTCTGATGGTTTCAGTCTTTTAGATTACTGCAACTCGATTTAGGGGCTCATTCAGTTGAGGTCGAACGTCCCGGCACGGGTTTCTTTTGCCTAAGAGTATTATCGTCGTTGTGGTTGTAGCGAGGGCCTCCTCTCCCGTTCCATTCCAGGGTTTAGTGGGTATGCATAAGTGTGAACGCCTCCCATCGCTCCAGAGCTCCCACTAAACCCAGGTATCATCGGCGACATCGGTGTACTCGTTTTGTTCTAGTACCGACACCGACTCGGAGGTGAAATTTGCGTGGTAGAGTTTTTTAAAAATTATCGACGACCACGACATTCCGTTTCGGAAAGTCGAACCCCAGCTTGTTATGTTGACGCGTAGCTACTGTACCATAACGGAGTAACTTTAGCGAGATATACTCGTAGGTTTTGCATTCCATGTGAACGCCGGAGAAACAAACCATTGCTGTGTTTGATTCGTTGGACGCGTGTTGAAATGTACTGTATCTTGCTTCGTTTTGATAGTGGTGTTCCCTTGATTTAGACCGGGTACTGTGGATCCAGGCGAAAAAGACGGTTTCAGCTCTCGCTCTATATGATTCGACCCAGGCTCGAACTGGGGACCTTCTGTGCTGGTCCAGTGGGATATGGACATGTTAGACAGATGCGATAACCAACTACGCCATCGAACCATGGATGTAGTGTGTTTCCGATTGATGACAGGCTTGCAAGTAAGGAAAGGAAAGGTACAGCCTAGGAAAGGACTTGAAGGTACAAAGAACGATAATTAGAGCACTGGAGCGAACTCTTTAGGTCTGCTCTGTGGTATCGCACTAGTTTGACAGCTCCTAAATACATTAGAGACAAATTTACTAGTACTGACGTCTCAGTTACACCATTTTGGGCCAGAACACGAGGATATGATCACTTGTTGTATATATAAGGATTGGCACCGTGTCGTTGAGTACCAGAACGAGACCGCAACCAATCACAGCTAGCGTTTAATACCGAGGTTTGTGGTGTAGCATGACAATCGTAGATTGAGGTTGGATACAGTGCCTATCAAAGGAACGGGTTGTGTTGTCTCCAGAATAAAATACGTGTTTTAGAGCGAAACTGTGTGTAAAAGTAAAAGACCACGTACTTGGGTTATTTGATTCGACCCAGACTCGAACTGGGCACCTGCTGTGCAGACCATGTTGGACAGATGCGATAACTAACTACGCCGTCGAACCGTTCTGTTATGATGTAGGTGGATCGCGTGTATCGGTGTGTGGCTTTGATATTCCATGGGTTCAAGGAACAATTTCTGGAGGATGATACTGTATAATTATATCCGTGAGCGAGTGAGGTGTCTGTCTATTAACATTAACTAATTAGCTAGGAGCAGGCTTCCATGTAGATCGAATACAAACGTGGAAAAAACTAGGTACATCAATCATTGTCGTTTGATATGAAAAGTGTCGTGTGATGTCAATCGAGAGCAGAGAGCGCAAGTCATATACTAATAGTACAAAAACCAGATGCACCAGTCACAGGGTGTTTATCCTCGAGAGCTTGCAGTTCGTACGGTTGTACTGTCCATTGTTATCGCAGGATAAGGATGCGGAGGGGGCAACTGTATAGGTATGAGTAAAAAAAGACGCGGGAGATGCTCGTTATATGATTCGACCCAGGCTCGAACTGAGGACCTTCTGTGTAACTGAACACTTTACACACAATGTTAGACAGATGCGATAACCAACTACGCCATCGAACCACACACGCTGCGTAGAGGCCTTGGATACTGAATCGACGGTTGACAGAGAATGGTAGAGGTCATTCTGCCACCTGACTATTGGACAAGTACCTCCTACCGACAGACATACACGGGAGCTTTTGGTTATGATACGACCACTTTGTAGGTTTGTGAGAATTTGATCAATTGAAGGTAGAAAGACAAGAGAACGCTTCGGAGGTTCCTAAAGCCTGACACAACAAAGACAACTAGTACCGACATCGCGGACTCGATCAAAAACAAAACAACTGGTAGTACTATTGGCGACAGGCAACCTGAAAGTCCGAGTCAAGAGTCAAAGGTACGCTTGTTCAGTTGGAAGACGTATCATATAAGGATCGTCACCGTGTTTGAGTACAGGAATACAATGTATGATCGCGTTTGAAATGTAGCGGTGGTCAAGGGTGCAATGAGAAGGGGGTGTACTGTCCTAAAAGAAATCGACCAAATGATGGAGATATGATTCGACCCAGGCTCGAGCTAGGGACCTTCTGTGTAACACTAGCGAAGGACAATGCGATAACCAACTACGCCATCGAATCGTTAGGTTGGTCAGGAGTGTTGGTCTGGTGAATTATATTCAACGAAGAAAGTGTTTGATCAAGAAAAGGAACATTTAATAGGCTTTATGAGCATTTGGGACAAAGAAAAGAGAACGAGGTTTAGTCGTGTAAGCTTCCTACATCTAGTTGGCGTTGTCACCGTATTTTTGCATTGAACGATAATCTATTCAATGGGGTAAAACGAGATGGATGGACATGGTGTTTACCTTTTCAAGGGACCGGGAGTTGGGGTGTTTGTATCCATCGGAATGTTGCTCGAGAGATTGCAGTTCGCCATCAACTGAAGTGAGTGTACTGTCCTGACGTGTTTTAGAGTATTATTCAACGCAGGACAAGGAATCTGTGCATCGAGGCAACGACTGGCGTTGCATACCCATGAGAAAAAGTAATGCTGCTGGAGAATCATGATTCGACCCAGGCTCGAACTGGGGACCTTCTGTGTAACAAGGATAGAAACGCAGATGTTAGACAGATGCGATAACCAACTACGCCATCGAACCATGGCTAAAACAATAATAATGCCGTACACAGCCCTTTGTGATGCCACGTGCCCAAGGCTTACGCGTCCGCTTACACATACAGGCCGCATTCCATCTCCTTCTCTTTCATTCACCACCATGCTTCCCTTCCTCGACGGCCCCAACCCCCGTCGTACCATCAACCTCAGCGGTACATCCACCTCGACATCCCAATCTACAATCCTCGAACAAGCCAAAGCACGACGTAACGAACGGATCGAACAAAAACGACGCACGGACGCAGCTGTACGTCTTCAGGCGTGGTTTCGCGGGATACGTGAAGCGAGAAGGGTACGAGCGGTGTTGAGAGATGAGATTCTGCATGGGAGAGTGGGTGATTTGAGTGTGGATACGTTGAGGAGAGTTGTGTTGGTTGGGTGTGGGGATGTATTGGATCGTTGGGCTGAAGGAGTTGATATTCAGCGGATATGGGCAGAACAGCGAGAAGGCAGCTGGATAGTGTGTATGAAACAAATTTCGAGGCTTTTGGTCGCTGGAAAACCGGGGAACACGATACCAAAACTGCAAATTCTGCAAACACTCTTATCGTCGAAAGATATCCAGACATACCTTCTCGCTCACTCGTTCTACCCAACTCTCCGACAATCCATCCTAACCACACCAAAAACGCACGCTACACTTCCACATCTAATCACGCTCGCCACTCTACCGCCTCCACACACTCAGTTATTCACAGAAATCCTAACAATCCCTCTATTACCCAACCGCCTACCACTCCAAACGCTCACATACCTCTCTTCCCATCTACCTTTACACCTCTTACACACTCTTCAACCACCCATAGACCCCACAAGTCTCTCCACGCAACTCAAAATCGACCTCCTCGCAAACCTCTTGGCGTTCACACCTCCACGGTACACCAAACTCCCGCCTCCCGCTCTAGGCGCATACCTCTCCCTATTGGCGGACCTCTTGAACGCCTTACCTGCCGGTGCTTTAGAGCCTCCACTCCCTGCTACACACGTCGCCGCAGATGACGAAGACGACATACACGTATCAGTCGTAGACGCCTTCTTACCTCCGCCAGAGGCGTTGCCCAAACTCGACCCCAAAACACTCAAACGCCTCTCCGTACTCCCAACTCCAGCACACCTCGGCTCGTTATTCGCCTCCGCCAAGAGCCCTGTAACGCGGTATCCCTTGATCAGGTTTCTGCTCGCGCTCGTGGGTACATGGCCTTCAAAACGCCAAGGTATACTCTCCTTTGCTTGGGGTGCGAATGGTGCGATTGTGAAGGAGCTTTGGAGAGGTTGGGTGAGGTCGTCGGGGTTAGGTCGGGATTCGTCTTCCACGGCGATGGACGTCGATTCGCCTGGGAAAATGAAGGAGAAGGAGGAAGCGTGGCCGGCGTTGTTGCTCCTTTGCGAGATGTACAATTCCGCGCTCCTGACGATGGGTGATGACGAGTTTTTTTCGACGTCCACGACCTCGGCTACGCGGAATCCGTTGTCTCTCGACGAAATCACCTCTCTAACGCGGATGTTACTCAATATCGCTTGGAACCTCTATATGTCCCCCTCCGCCCCTTCTTCCATAGCAACACGAACGATAATAACCCAAACACTCCAAGCCATCCACGCACGCGACTCCCGAAAACCATTCATCCCCGCCTCTGGTTGGCTCGTCTCCTCAACTTCCTCTTCCTCCGAATGGCAGACTTTCCTCGAGGCTGCTGTTGCAGAGGAACAAGCGTACCTCGATTCTCTCGACACCGATATCCCTTCTTCTACAGTGGAGGAACATCACCCAAGGATCAACCTTCCGAGGTTCTTTGGTCCACGGTTGGATATCCAGACAGCGCCGCTTGGTGGGACGAGAGGTGTAAGAGGAGGAGGAACGGGGAAGAAGAAGAAGGAGTATTTGGGGCCGAGACAGGCGGTGTTGAATAATATCCCGTTTGTGATACCGTTTGAGGTTAGAGTGGCGGTGTTTAGGGAGTATGTTAGGTTGGATGCGATTAGGAACGGTGTTGCTCGTGGTAAGCCCCTTCTCCTCCCTTCCCTTACCCCCACGCCCCGGCTGATAAGGAGTGAGTAGATAGGTACACCCCGCATCAGAGAAGGTCTAGGATCGATATCCGCCGAACACATCTCGCGCAGGATGGGTTTGATAAGATCTCTGCCGTTGGGGATGGGGAGTTGAAAAGGGGAGTGGAGATTGTGTTTGTGGATCGGTGGGGGGAGGAGGAGTGAGTCCCTTTCCTTTTTCTTCACTTTTTTCTTGTTTTGGGGAGACAGGGGCTGACGCGACGCACAGGGCAGGTATCGACGGCGGAGGCGTATTCAAAGAATTCCTCACGTCGCTCTCGAAGGAGGTGTTTGATACAGATAGGGGGCTGTGGAGGGTTAATAAGAGGATGGAGTTGGTTCCGAGTGCTGGGGGTGTTAGTGTCGAACGTGCGTCCGTTTCTCTTTATTCTTTGGGTTGAATGGGGTGTTGATGGGGGGTGCTAGCGCATAGCTTGAATTGGTATAGGTTCATAGGCCGAGTCCTGGGCAAGGCGATGTACGATGGGATCCTGGTAGATGTGGTGTTTGCGAATTTCTTTTTGGGAAAGGTACGTCCCTTCCTTCCACACCCCCTTCCTATACCCCTAAAAACAGGAGGCTAATACCCCTCGTGCAGTGGCTCAACCGCCAATCATACCTCGATGACCTCGCCTCTCTCGACCCCGAGCTTTACAACGGTCTGATCTTCTTGAAACATTATCCAGCGGAGAAGGTTGAAGAGTTGGGGTTGGTGTTTAGTTTGGATGTTGAAGGTGCGCCTGCCCTTTACCCCCATTCCCCATTCCCCCTACCCACGCTAACGCGCGCGCAGAGTTTGGCGTAACGAAAACACATGAACTCATCCCTGGCGGTTCTAGCACACCCGTTACGGCGTCGAATCGTCTACAGTATATCTACCTCGTATCGCATTTCAAGTTACGCAAGGAGATTAAGAAACAGAGTGAAGCGTTTTTTGATGGTTTGGAGGGGATGGTTGAGGGGCGGTGGGTCCGGTACGTCCCTTTCTCCTTCACTCTATCTCTCCGTAAAAAAAATCAGGTATTGATGCAAGGTGAAATAGGATGTTCTCCCAACCTGAACTCCAAATCCTCCTCGGAGGCTCCAACACCCCCATCGATATCGCCGACCTTCGTGCACACACCAATTACGGCGGGTTATATGACGATAGAGAGCCGACGATTGAGGCGTTTTGGGATGTCGTGAAAGAGTTTGATCAGGAACAGAGGAGTAAGCTGTTGAGGTTTGTGACGAGTTGTTCGAGGGGGCCTTTGTTGGGGTTTAAAGAGCTTCAACCGCATTTTGCGATTCGAGATGCGGGGACGGATCAGAATAGGTTGCCTACGGCTAGTACGTGTGTTAATCTACTAAAGGTGTGTCTTTCCTTCTCCCTTCTTTTTGTTTGGATTGGTGTTAACGGGGTGAAATGGGTAGTTACCGAGGTACACCGACAAGGCGGTGTTGAAACAAAAACTGTTGCAGGCGATTAATGCGGGGGCTGGGTTTGATTTGTCGTAGACGTGGTTGAGGCTGGTGGGGGTGTAGGATTAGATTGTATTACTTGGCATTCGTTAGATTTCTTGTCGGTTTTATGCGATTTGTGATGACGCGCAAGATCGTTTTTGGAAGGACAATGTCTCGGGGCGTGGAGAAGTGGTAAATGAAGTGAGCATGGGTTGCGTTCGGTGACTCGTTGTAGCAGAACGTAGAGCGGAGACGCGTGGTTCGTTACCACCATGATTTCGGTTCGTTGGAGCAGAAGGTAGACACGCTAGTGTTAGCGGTCGAGTTGATTATAGTTCGTGTTGCAACGCGTTCATGGGTTACAAACGCGCATGAAAATCTAGTTTAGCGTCACGATATACGGTCCAAGGTTGAAATCGCAAGTATCAAGCCTCATGAAACAATCAAAGCCGTGTGAAAAATGTCGTTCTTAATCCTTTGAACGTAGTATCACGTAGATTGGTATACGGAGTGTTATCACCAAGGTTTCAGCTCTTCCTTAGAGTTTACGCTGAGGTTCATTCGTTGGAGCAGAACGTAGGTTAGATGTCAGAGACGCGTGGATTGCGTTTGGTGACTCGTAGCAGAATGTGGAGTCGTGATGTTTGGAGCAGAAGGTAGACGCGTGTCGAGTTGATTAAAGTAGAGACAATCCTTGTGGCTTCTGATGAGGTATGATTCGAGGTGTTACGACTTCTAAATGACGCGTTCATGGATTACAAGCACGTCATAATACTTTGAAAATCCAGTTTAGCTTCACGGTATACGGTTCGAGGTTGAAATCGCATGTATCAACTCTCATGAAACGATGAAAGCCGAATTCTTCGCCAATGTTATTGGTGAAAGATGTCGTTCTTAATCGCTTGAACGTAGTATCAGTGATACGAGAAGTTCGCGATTAAGTCGATTTGTAGAGATTGGCACCTTGCTGAAGTTGTTGTGGTAGCAGGAACCACCGTTTTCGTGAAATTAGTGATGAGGTATTTGGTTCTGGTGAAGTTCACGCTTATTGGAAATAACAGATGCTCGCGGTTGATTCGATTGCACTCCGTTGATTTTAGAGATCCCATAGCTTGACGCTGTCAATGGATAAGTAACGGTAATATTCTTCAACCAGAGCGATTATCCTATAGATTCTTGTATCAAAAAGCTATCTGGGAAATCATCTTCCGGACGAGGAGTGGGATCTTTTGTCATACCGTCATCAGGTTCACTCGTCTTAGCAGTTGCCACGATTCTAGATATTTATGCTGGACAAGTCGATTACATTTTGTTGGTCTAGCCTGAGAGTCAAGCTCGTCAGAAACCACCGTAACATATGATTGAGACTGCGAGGATACTTTGTGATAGTGATATGTACCACTATCTACTTTACGACCAAGTTCACTCATAGGTGATCTATATACTACCCTTAAGACGTTCATGTCGATTGAACTCGGTTAATGTAGAGAC